AGTTATCAGGCATCAAAGAACAAAAAATCCTATCATTGTGTGCACACCTTCCCAATATGATCGCTGATGACAAATGGGTGCATAAGCAAATGTGGTGAAGAAAGCGGATGGTGCCCAGCTATCAAAAGATATAGCATCTGGGGTCTTTCTTAAAGGCCTGGAGGTAAACAAGCAGCCATTTAACTCAGAAGCAACAAAGCCCACATGGAAAAATCACACCAGCCTGTGTGATCACGAGGTGTCGAAGGGATGAGTTATCACGAATCAAAGAACAAAAAATCTTATCATTGTGAATGAGGGGGAGTGCAGAGTGGGGACCCAAAGCCCATCTGTAGGCAACTGGACATCCCCTTATGGAAGGGTCGCAGGGAGGAGATGAGTGTGAAAACCTTTTAAGGACTTTTTACAATAGTGGTCTCACACACCAGTGTATTGTCACTTGTGGTAATACCTCTCCTTTGTCTTACTGATTTTTATATTGAGAGCTCCTTCAGGACTCAGGTTTGAAACAGTTCTGGAGAATTTTCCTTCACTTCCTTAGGCTGCACTAAGGTTCATCTACTGTGCACACTGAGCAGAACAAAACCTCTAACTATACGTTGTCTGTCATTCCCTTTAGATGTAATATTCTCTTAGTATGGCTACTACATTTTATTCATCTTTGTATTGTCAACACCTGTAATATCTGACACACACAGGAAATCAATAAGTGGACAAATGGAAGGATATGTAAGTTATGTAAGTTACTTCTTCCAATATCTATAGGAGAACAAAATGAAGAGTTGTATTTAATCTTCAATATCTTTAGGTCTAAAGCATTTCTCAATGGGGAGTGGAGTATTGTGGTATACCAGTCAAGACAACTCTTTGTTGAATAAGACTGGTCTGCATTGAAGGATAATTAGCAACCATAGCCCCTGCCAGTGGCACACCACAATCACTAACTATCAAAATTGTTCCAGATACTCTTAAATACTCCAGCAGAGACCCATTATTTCTAAAACTCTAAAGAACTCAAATATTAACTTAAAAGCAATTTATCAGTTTATAGTACTCAATGCAAACAAACCAACAATCAAAAAAATACCTGGGACATGCCTTGTGGAACTGGTACATTTGCAGCTTGAGACATCACTGGCTGTGTTAATGACTGACCAACAGACTGGGAATTTATGGACTAGAAACAAAAGAAATAACACTAGAATGATGACAGTTACACCATGCAAGCGCAATTTCACCAGAAAGCAAAATACTTCTATTAGTGAATATTCAATTTGCCTCATACTCTTATTAGTGAAGTGTAGGTATGTTCTTTGTTTACTTTTTTAATCTTCCAAGGTATTTACCACAGTACCTCATAGGGCTCCTAAATAAAAATGCCTCTAAATTAAAACGTTTACAGTTAGGAAATAAACCCAATATTTTACCTTTAGGGGAAAAAAAAGTTTAAAGGACTGGTATATATGCTAAGTATTGTACACAAAAAAGTGAAATCTTAAGTACTATGAAAAATACCAATAACCAATTTGGTCTGTGTAGAAAGGGATCATGAGTAAACATAAACAGGTTTATTAGATGCTGTTTTCCTCCCCGTCAGTAAAGAGCTTACGTGACTGCTGAACGATGACCTCCTCTGTGCCAGCTTGTCGTGAGCCGATAAATGCTGCCTGGGAGGAGTGCTCCTATCAGTCTGGATCTTCGTGGGGGTTGCTAAGGTCAACAAAACAGAACAGTAGGAAGTAGTTTATGAAATACAGTTATGAAAGAGTCATTTCAAAATCGATTTCTGTGAAGAAAAAAGTTATTTTTCTAGACAGTTCAATAAAATGAGGTTCTTGATAGTGAGAGGAATAATTTCTATACACACACACACACACATGTAAAACTGTGGTGAGACTTTAAACAAAGCACTCTTCTAGTCATTAATTTCTACACCTATGATCAGTGGCATTTATTATACTCATTTTTTTAAGGAAAAAGAAAATGACAAAGAAAACCTTAAAGCATAAAAATAATTGTACACTTAACAATTATGGAAGTTTTTAGAGACAAAACCCTAAAATTTTTGAACAGCAAGCTGAATTTAAAGGGCATGCATTGGCTTTATCAGTTAAAAAGATATAGTTTGGCATTCTTTTTGAGTGATAATTAAAAACAAATGGACGATATTAATTTGTTGTTGTGGATTCTGATACACAGTGATTCTAAATGCCAAAGTGCCCCTAGGGTTTCCTAGGCTGTGATTTTTATGGGAAGGAGCCCTGGCCATGTGGTCAGTGTCAGATTGCGAAACCACAAGGTCAGCGGTTCAAATCCACTTAGTGCTCTATGGGATAAAAAAGGGGCTGTCTGCTTCCATACACAAAGCCAAGGAAACCTTACATATGGCCACTATGAATTCACTCAATGGCAGCGGGGTGTTTAATCTTTATGGGAACATATTGCCAGGTCTTTCCTCCCATGGAGTTGCTGATGGGTTTGAACCACATAACGTTGGGTCAGCAGCATATACCCAAGGTAGCACCAGGGTTCCCCCAAAGCATCCTTAGTAGGCTGGCAGCGGTAGGATTTGATGAGACTTAACTCCAGTGGCTGAGGCTGTTTGGCCACATTGTCCACATTACTGCTTATATTTTATAGGTCACTTGATAACTTAAAGGAGCTCTGGTGGTGTAGTGGGTTACATGTTATGCGGCTAAACACAAGTTCAGTGTTCCAACTCACCAAACACAGGAGAAAAGATGAAGCTTTCTGCTCCAGGAAAGATTTATAGCCTCAGAAATCCAAAGGGCTAGTTCTACCCTGTCCTGTAGGTTCTCTATAAATCAGAATTGATCTGATGGCAGTTGAGATGAGTTTTGACAAACCTAATGAATTCTTTGCTAAATGTCAACTCTGTGCTTCCTACTTATTTGAAAGGTTAAGATATTTTGGAAATGTTAACATTTATAATTATAAAGCAACATTTGATGACAATCGCTGATACCGGGGAACACAGATCACACAGAAGCACTCTCTTTAAAGGAAGCCTGCTTTCAAGGTAAGGTACTCACAGGAAGGGTCTGAGACTGCTGTATGAGATGATTTTCTTGAACTCCTAGAGGACACTGATGGGGTTGGGCTGTGATCAAACCTTTCCAAAGCTTCCTTGAGACTGACTGTGTTTATACGATTCTCAGACCCAGAATCTTGACTCTAAGACGACAAGAGTAAAGTAAATGTTTTCTGGTGGTTCGGTCCAGAGATCCCAAATTAGCAATATAACCTGAGCAGGGGGTCGGGGGGCAGGGGAGCTGTTATTCATGATAAGGCAAAG